CTTTGCTTGGGCGGCCAAAGCGGCTTGGGCATACGACCGCTCCTGGAAATAAACATAAGAACACGTAAATAAACAAATATCTAAATATCTATCTCAGTGATCATACGGAGCCTTAGCTTCTAAAACGTATCCCCAGAATTTATAAGAGTTTTAAATACCTTTGAATAATACACAAAAAAATATTGAATATTTTTTAACACGCATCTTTTCGCTTCCTTCTGGGGAAATCATGAAATTCACACTCACTATTTCCGGCTTGTGATTCCGTCAATCTCTCACCGATTTCTGCAAGATTTATCGTCCTCACACAGTCGTGCAGGTCAAAAGCTCGAGGCTGAGACCATCTAAGAGTTTTGAATGTGATAGGAGCCAAAATGTCAGGTGAAAATAGTTCCTTGTTCCCGTGTGACCAGTGACAACCTTTGTTAGGAAGTGATTTCCTTTCGGTTTCTGTTACACTGTTTTCTGTTGTTTTTTGCTTTTTTATTATTGGTTATAAGTGCACTTGTATATACGTAATAATGATAACTGTAATAATTGTAATGAAAACGTTAATAACAAAGAGCAGTGATAGCAAAAATTTACCACATTGATTTCACTAATTATCCACGCTAATATCATTAGTTACGCTAGCAATGAAAAAGACAAAAAAAATAAAAAAAATTGAAAAGGCATTTTTCAGATCACAATGCTTTTTCCGCTTTTACCCGCGAAGTGCCTTTCTCTTTGACATTTTGACATGAATGGAAGTCTTGCAATGCAGAGCAATTGAAAGTTTATCCCTTTCGAATTTCCTTGCAAGACGTGATGCCAATATTTTTTCGTCTTTTTTTACGCATCTGCTAATCTTATAACATTTCTCCTTTCCATTTGGACCCATTTTTCATTATGCTTCTATTTCCATTCTTATATCTTTTTATTCCTTCTTTATTGGGATCTTTCTGAACAGTATCTTCTGTTTCATATTTCACTGAACGAAATTCTTCATTCCACGCAAGCTGATTTCCGGAAAAGGACTCTCGAAAAAAATATTAAAGAAATATCACTTGCAGCCAAACGATAATGATAATGACAATAATAAAGCCAGCACCTCCGTAACCAAGTGACACCCAATACATGGAACTCATACCTTCCGTTAGTATGATCCAATAGCCTAATGTGCACATGTACACGTCCACACGCGCACATATGGCTCAATGGAACGCAGCCACCGCAGTTCCCACTATTATAGAGAGCGTCAGCGAAGGCGAGTGGAAGGTAACGGAAGAAAACGCACACATTTGTATACGTACATCTTTACATGTATAGTTACATACACATGCACGAGTGTGTGTACGCAAACACACAAACACACACACACACACGCACACACACACACACACACACACACACACACACACACACACACACACACACACACATACGCACACACGCGCACACACACACGCACACACACACACGCACACACACACACGCACACACACACACACACACACACACACATACATACACACACACACGCACACACACACACACACACACACACACACACACACACACACACACACACACACACACACACACACACATATTTATATAGATAGATGGATATATAGATATATATAAATATATATGTCTATCTTTGTGTGCGCATGTGTGCTTAGATGATGGATAGATAGAAAAATAGAGATAGATATATAGATGTAGATACAGATAGATACATTGGTAGATTGACAGAGGGAGAGAGAGAGAAAGAGAGAGAGAGAGAGAGAGAGAGAGAGAGAGAGAGAGAGAGAGAGAGAGAGAGAGAGAGAGAGAGAGAGAGAGAGAGAGAGAGAGAAAGAGAGAGAGAGAGAGAGAGAGAGAGAGAAAGACAGAGAAAGACAGAGAGAGAGACAGAGAGACAGAGACAGAGAGAGTGAGAGAGAGAAGAGCGAGATTTTTCTTTGTATCATGGTTGACTACTTTGTGCAACATTACTATATGTTGCGTGCATCATGCCGTCACTGTCTTATCGATGTTGCATGATCTCATGGACAATATAGCATAACAAACCATCTGTCTTTTGAACCCCCCGTAACAACCCCCCCCCCCCCTCACGTAACACCCTCACGTGCCTTCGTAGCGCTAGTGTTGTCACATGCCAGCGAGCATCACACGCACTGTATTTAACAAGCGTCCGAGAGTCGAGGATCTGTGCGTGCCGAGACGCCATTATCATGATGATGATACCAGCCTAATGACAGCTTCACGTAATAATGATTTAGGCCGTTGTGAGGGTCGTTCCCCCTTTCGGCGACATCGCGATCCTGACGACCTCCAACGACTGCCATTTTGAACGAGATTCATCAACTCGTCACGCTCGGAGAACCACAATGTCCGATTCCCTCGTTCTTGGGTATTCTTTTATTCTTTATTACTCTTAAAAATGCTGAATTCTTTCTTGTCATAGCCAAAAAATATTCGCAGATTTTCTTAGTATTTTTTTCGATTTTTTTTTTGTGGGGGGGGGGGATAGTCTAACATTCCAGGAAAAAAATCATAAAGCGTAACCGAGTCCTAAAATTTTCAAGTCTGTGTTCGGCTTCGTTGTGTCCGGAAATCGTCTTGACAATTTCTTTATCGAGACTTTGGGAAATAATAAAGAAAAAGGAAAGGGAGAGAAATTTAAAATAAGATTCACTCTCCTCATATTTCGCGTCAGTGAACTTTTTTTCTTCTTTTTCTTATTGAAGAGTCTCCTGACACTCATGAAAAAATGCAAAGCGTAATATATCATGACTATAGCAAATCTACCATTACGAAGAGTAGATAATATTTCCTCCTAACTGTTTCCTCGCGCGTTCTTCCCGTTGGTACCCTTAATAAAGAGCCTAACTGCTCCACAAATCATAATTTCCGCTCGAAATAGCACTTACCGCTACGAAAAGCATTCATAAACTCGGCAATTACACCCCGCCCTCCTTGCTAACAAAGGGATGATCAGAATGTCTCAGGAGACATCTTCGTTCTCTCTCTGCGGGCGACCACATTCCAGGGTCAGTCTGGAAGGAATTTGATCGCCTCTTTGTTAAGTTCCTCTTCCGGCAGGATATTCGGTTAAAGCGATTTCTTGTGGGCGTGTCGGGGCCTGATCAGTGGTCTTTGTTTTTTAATTGTTCGACATGATTAAGTATCGGGGAGACTGTGACAAGCGATTGGGACACACGCACATGCACACAAGCACACTCATGCACACGCACACATGCACACGCACATATGCACGCACGCACGCACACACACACACACACACACACACACACACACACACACACACACACACACACACACACACACACACACACACACACACAAAGGCATGTACTCTTACATATATATATTTCCTATATCTAGCACTATTAACGAACGGTAACGAACTCGAGTAACCCACAACCACTGCAGAACCAGCATGAAAAAAACACGAATAACAGGAGGAAAAGAAAGATGGAAAGACTTGGTCTCCATCTCCGGCGCAGCGCTGCACGGGGAGGTCAAGCCGCCGAAGGGACGTAGCGAGAACCTTTGCCTCGGGTGGCGCGTGCGTGGGGCGAGGGCGCTCGGGCGTAAGACGTCGGCTCCCTTCAGGAATCCGCCGGAGGGACTCGAGGCTACTGCGGGAGGCCTTACTCTTTTGGGATAGACTCCTCAGCGCAGCAGACAAAAAGACATAAGTGTATGTGTGTGTACATACTTATATATATATATATGTGTGTGTGTGTGTGTGTGTGTGTGTGTGTGTGTGTGTGTGTGTGTGTGTGTGTGTGTATACCTATATATAAATATACATATATACATATATATATATATATATATATATATATATGTGTGTGTGTGTGTGTGTGTGTGTGTGTATACATATATATATATATATATATATATATATATATATATATATATATATATATATATATATATGCATATATTGGGCAAGGGAGTGTCTATCGTTGATATGATGGGTTAAGAACCACCAACAACGATTACCCACACAAACTCCTCCCCTGGGGAAGGATCATGGGTCAGCCACCCCAGTATAAAGACCCAGTCAACTACACGATGTCAACATGGCGCCAAGTAGTGCGTCAAACACTACATAGAGAAAAAGAGAGAGAGCTAAACAAATAGAGACAAACAGACTGCCAGACAGATTGGGCCGTTTATGTTTTATGAGCTCCACAAAGATGTATAGATAAATAGATAGATTAATTAGTGTAAGACAGAAAGAGAGATAGAAAACAATAAGAGATGGAGATTTATACAGACATAAAAAGGTGCACTAGAAATAGAAAATGCACAAAGAGAGAGAGAGAGAAGAGGAAGAATAAAGAAAGAAAACGGAGATATACAAACTGAGCAGAAAAAAAGAAGAAGAAGAGAGAAAAACATATGAAAGAAGATAGGTGCCACTAGCAACAACTGAAGGCCTTATGCCCCTCCCACCTTCCCAGAATCCAGGGCACAACGCACCCTCTTCAACTCTTCTCATCTCTTTGGTCTTGCTACGCAGAGAAATCCAAAATAGGTTATTTATTTTGAAAGAAAAATTGTATTTCGACTAATTTGACGATGGATTCTGTATAATGATAGAGAAGGAGAGGTGTACACAATTAATAAAAAATACGTTGCGTCACATTGGTTCAAAGACCTTCCTTACGCAAAAAGAGAGAGAAATGTGGATCTACAACAAATATCATCTCTAATACAGGACAGCATAAGGACCTTCTTCCTTCAGGGATAATGCCCAGGATAAGCATGTTGTAGCAGAGTCAAGTATCCTGCCTTGTAGACTGCCGGACACTGACCCCTGGCGAACGAGGAGAGGTACCTTCCTGTAGGCGTCTTTGATGATGACCCGCCCCGAAACGTTTATCGAGACGTTTTATGGAACTCTGTGATGTTTTGGAACGTTTTTTTTTCTATTGTTTATGTTTGTCTGTTTGTGTGTGTGTGTGTTGTTCTTGTAAGGGTGGGGCGTGATTTTGGTCGCTGTAAGTATATTAATTATG